AAATTTTCTGAAGAAGGGTCTAGATCCGAAACGTCAGCTTTCCTGCTCCTCTGATGCTGCTTGGCCTTCTGTGTTCATCCAGCTCTACACCTTGTTGTCTCAGATTCTCCAGCATCTGCAGTTCCTACTATCTCCAGACTCACTGTAATGTGATTGACTCTTAGCTGCCATTGGAAGAGAACTAGTAAGTCATTCAGTTCAAGAGTGATTAGGGATGGGCATTGAATTCTGGCTTCCTGGTGACACCCACAACCCATGAATTATTTTTTTTAAATTATACATTAGCATAAATAACATATTCCTATTCCAGTGATATTTACATGAGAATCAAATGTTTTGGGCGTCCATAAAACAAAATCGTTACCATCTACAAAAGTATCTCTGAATAAACTAAATGCTTCGAATAGCACAAACTTTTGGATTAATTAAAAACTTGCATTAACCAAAATTGATGACACAATCTTGCCCAGCAGATTGAAACAGTTCTGGTTCACTATCATCTATTTTACACAATCAGATAACTTCAAAATTACTCCAAGTTTAATGCATGAAGTTAACTGAGCAATTAAAACAAAACTATAAAAGGGACTACTCGCCAATTGGTGTCCTGGATGTGAATTCAGGGTCAAAGTGAAACGTATCCTCTGGTCTCCCCACAGCTGGTTTAAATGGAGGTGTAATTTCTTTCCTGTATAGCTTCTGTTGAGAAAGTATATATTTCAGTGATTTAGAATTAAATAAGATAAATTTTAGTTGTCTCCAATCCTAGTGCACTGGTTAATGATTTAACATTAAATTTTGTCTGTACTATTTTAACATACCTGCTGACTCATTAAGTGTACACTAACCACTGTAGTAAAATAACACAGAGAGAAACCTAAATTTTCATCTTTTGTAGCAAGTTATGGTATAAAATTATTCTCCTTACTTTATCTTGTGTTGAATATGTACTGTTTTTTGCAGAAAGTTAACTAGTGCAGTATCACAATACAGTAAGATAACGTTTGATCCAGTATTAATACCATCTTCATTATGATTTCATTCATTTAATTGAATTGGTATACCTGCGCTATGAAAGGAACAAAACTTCAAAATAAACACTGCGGTCTTGAAACAAATGGTAGACTCTGTAAAGTATAAAATTATGGCAATCTTGAGGTGCTTTTATTTTGATGACTTGTTTTACTTCTGTGTTTGGAGTGTGGCCCCAATGGAACACTCTCCCTTTTCTCAGGACATAGTTCAGTTCTGTAATATGCAGATCTAATCAAAACATTTCTATTGTTTCTATCAGTTGCAACAGTTTAGCACTTAATTTGCTTTACTTCTCAAAGGATTTTCTTATTTGTAGTATTCTAAACATAAGACCAGAACTGAGGCATTGTTCAAATGAAAAAATATCCTTATTTTGATTGTACTCCTATCATCATGTCTATTTATTGGAGTTGTGCCTGATCACAGGAATGATATAGTATTGTGCCATTCTTGCTTTATATGTGCTTCTAACAAATACTCAGAATTCTAAGTTATCTTCCAGTTTTATTTCAATTTTAAAGCTTTCTTTTATCGACAGGAAAATCTGCTTACATTTCTTATTGTGCATGTGGCTCTTTCAGCCAATAGCTTTGACCATGTTCCCCAAGCATTTTTTGCTATGTTTCCAGCTCTAGACACCATTACAGCCCAGGTCCAAAAATGGACAGAACAGTTAAATCCCAGAGGTGAGATAACAGCAACTGTCCTTGAAATTAAAACATTTGACCAGATTTGATATCAAAGAAGCCATTGGAAATCGGAATCAAATCTTCCACTGGTGTCCTACCTAGAACAAAGGAAAGTAGCTCTGCTTTTTAAGAGGGCAATTATCTCAGCCTCAGGGTATGTCTGCAGGAGTTCATCAGGGCTGATTTTTATTCTTAATCACCTTTATTGTTACCTTCTCTCTAAGGTAAGAAGGTGGGATATTTGCCAATGATTGCAGTGTTGTATTTGCAACTCTTTCAAATAAGGTAACATTTTGTGCCCAGACTGAAGAAGGCTTGGACAACACTCAGGTTTGGAGGTCTGGTACTCTGCAGCAAGTGGAATAGCTTCTGAGTCTCCAATATCTTTCCACCATGTATAAGACATAAATCAAGAATGTAGTAGAATACTTTAGAATTTCCCAAATGAATGCTGTTCCACCAACACGTAAAAAGCTTAGAACTAGCCTAATTGATTGACATCCCATCTACCAATCATTCCCTTTGTCATTGCGACATCAATCAGGCTGCTGTATCAATTGTAAGATGCACTGCATCATGTCACCAAGTCATATTTGGCCTACTTCTATAGCTCCTGCCTAAATTAACAATTCCCTGTATTAACCTCTATTTGCCAACTCTCTGCTAATTTTGCCAGCCTATCAATGTCTTGTTGTAATAAATTGGTATTATCCTAAGTGATTGTCCCATTTGGCATCATCAGTAAATTTTGAAATTTACTTTATTCTTTTATCCAAGTCATTCGGTGGAATATTTAGGGGTCTGAAAAATATGGGCTACAGCAGGATTTGTGTCAGAATCAGATGAAAAATCTGGCAAGGCCCATTTTGACATTGAGAGTAATTCATGCCATCTTTTATGCTGTTCATAAGTGGCTTGGCGAGTCTCACACTAGGCAGCGGCAGGTGCCAAGTAAGCAGGTTTGGAGATTATTGCTTGTTAAATGCCTCATTAACCACACAATTTACCTCATTAAAATTCAATGTCCTATCTAACAAAACCTGCCAATTAGCTCTATGTCAAAAAAATTCATCATGAAAAATAGTGTGGGTCCCTGGTGAATTCAGCTCGCTGCTTGCTTTGAAGAACCTCCATTTTCGACTTGGGCACCAGCATCTTCAGAGGACTCCATGAGAACCAGGCACTGCCCCCCACGTCCATGCACATTGGCATCCAATATGTGCCAAATTCTAACAACTTTGATGGCACATCTCAATCCACTTACAAGAAGATTTTGCACTTTACCGCTGCATCTCTGCTGCACTGGTAACTATCATCTAAGCTGCAACAAGGACACTTTGTGCTCAGGGACAGATATCTGCTGATGGATTAGACTAAGCTGCATCTACATGCTCTTTGTTCATTGTCATAACACTCGCTTACTCTGAACCTACCTGGATACTCACAGTATCCCTGCCTTGCAATGTCTTGCCTTACATTTGTGTGCTTTGCCCCCCTCAGCCTTAGACACTGGGTGTGTATTACTTCTGTCTTGCCTTGCCAATTAGCGCAAACACAAAGGTAGAATGCTTGATGTGGTTGTCAGCAGACCTTTTGTTAGTCAAAGGGGAAAGTCTCCAATCAGGGGGTCCTGTCACAGTAAATCAAGGGTGGACTCCAATATCAGAAAAAGGGCTTGAACACAGTCAGTCAGTTACTTGGGGCAATCAGAGTCCACATATGGGTGAGGAGCCAAATGTCAACTATTGATCAGCAGTCTTTCTGCCCTCTTTGGGATTTCTTTCCTCCTGGAATGAGAAAGAGGTAGGTATTAAGGGAGATGAAAGTCGATGGCACAGCTGTTGTTGTAAGCGCAGGTGGGGAGGCGTCCTGAGTGAGTCAGTAGGCAGCACAGAGGGCACAGTGAGTTTGGAGTAGGTCATAGTGAGTAAGGGAAGATGTTGCAGGCAGTTATGAGAGTGGTACAACATGAGTGTTAGTGGGAGGTGGGTATACTAGCGGAGATACGGAGTGTGTGAGGCATTGGAGAGAAGATGGTGGGCACTTATGCTGGCAGAGCTGAGGCCACTGACAGTGTTGGTCATTTCTTCAGATGGCAAAGAGTCCTTTAACATCGGTAAACTCAGACCAAGCCAGCATGTTCATGGTCCAGTGTTGTGGCCTCCATCGCTGCTTCTGGGGGAAGATGAAGTCCTACCTCTGCACTAGCCTGTCCAGTAATACCTCCAGCAGACTGTCTACAAAGCAAGGTGATGATTGCCCTTAATTTGCTAAATCTGGGACAAATGTCAGAAACCTTGCAGGGCAGCTCCAGACTCGCTGTCTGGGTGCATAATGGGCTTTTAAAGATGGCACAGGTGCAAAGGATATGGGTGAATTCTGGGATATCCACTAAGTGGCAAGTTGTTGAGGGAACGGTGATTGGTACAACGGGGCTGGAATCAGGCATGAGGGATGCCATGGGGTAGGGTAGGTAGTTAATGAAATGAGTTTGGTAAGACTAGGTGAGAAAACTTTCTTAGCCTCACAGTAGAAATCCCTCCAAAAAACTCAATGCAATTTGGACATAGTCACAAAACCATAATATCCAACCCATAATACATAATAAAAGTAGCAGAGGTTCTAGCACTAAGCTTTGGAGAACATCACTAGCATTCTCCAGTCTGAAAAATCACCACTCACCGTGACTCTGTCTTCTGTCCTTAAGCCAATTTTTTTCCCCTGAGTTGAAACTGACATTCCTATTCTATGGACCTTTATTTAGTTAACCAGACTTCATGTGATATTTTGTCAAACTTTTTTTTAGACTCCATATAGACAGCAGCATTCCCTTCATCACTCTTCTCTGTTATTTCATCACAAAAATTCAATTAGATTTGTTAAACACAATCTGGCTATTACAAATCCATGCCAGCTCTCCTTAATTAACTCGAACCAAGCTAAATCCGTACTCATGTAGTTCCCTTGATTATTGTTTCTAAAAATATCTTACCCGCAATATTAAACTGTTCAGCCTGTAATTACTAAGAATGTTCTTACATTCTTTCTTAAATAAGAGTGTCATATTTGCCACTTCAAATCCTCTGGCACCTCCCAATGGGGAAGATTACAAAATTATGGCAGACATTAAAATGAATACAAAATAGTACCATAGCCTGTGCACTATCCAGCACCTTCAGCCATTTCTTATATGGAGTGAATCAAATTGGCTGAAGTCTGGCATCTGTGATGCTGTGGAGCTCAGGGGGAGGCTGAGAAGGATCACCAACATGTCCCTTCTGGTTAAGTTGGTTTTAAATGTTTTAGCCTTGTCACTTGTACTGATGTGCTGGGCTCCCACATCATTGAGGCTGAAGGCACTTATGGAATTCCTTTCTCCAATGAGCTGTTTAATTGTCCACTACTATTAGTGACTGGATGTGACAGAATTGAAGACCTCTGATAGGATCTGTTGGTTTTGGAAATCACTTAGCCTCATATTGCCTCCACTGCTAGGAACGCAAGTAGTGCTGTGTTTGTACTTTACCATGTTGACATTTCACTTTTAGTCCTGCCTGGCGTTGCTCCTGGAATCCCCCCCATTTGCACTGTTTGTGGGTTTGGATATTAATTGAATGCAATTCTGCTGCTGATTGTGTCCAGTGCCTGATGGATGCCAAATTTAGAGTTGCTCGATTTGTTCAAAATCTATCCATTTAGCATGTTGGTAGTGCCACCCAACAACATGGAGGTAAAGACAGGACTTAGGACTGGGTGGTGCTCATTTCTACCAATAACATTATATACAGATGTATCTTTGACCAGTGAGGATAAGATTGAGAAGGTTTTTCCCTCACTTGCTACAGGACCAATCTACCAAATATATCCTCCAGGATTTGGCCAATTCAGTCAATGGAGATGTTAATGAACCACTCTTAGTCATGGACATTGAAGGTCTTCCCCAAGCATATTTGATGCCCTTCCACCATCAGTGCTTTTGAGTTTTCCTTTATTATTTGTTCATGACATGTGGGCATCACTGGCTATACCAGCATTTATTATCTACTGTGGATCTGGAGTCACATGTAAGCCAGACCAAATAGGGATGGCTGATTCACTTCGCTAAATGGCATTAGTGAATGAATGGGTTTCCATGACAATGGTTACACAGTTGCCACTAGGCTAGCTTTTAATTCCAGATTTTTATTGAATTAAAATGTCACTGTGCCATTTTGGGATTTGAACAATGGAATGGCTCGTTTATTCAACCAGTGCAGACATGATGGGCTGAGTAGCCTCTTTCACCTCCTGACCGCCCCAGAACCTGTTCACCGTCTATAAGGTATAAGTTAGGATTGTGATGGAATACTCTCCACTTGCCTGGATGACTGCAGTTACAACCGCACTCGGCTCATCCAGCCCAATCCAATGATGTTACAGCTACGTCACTGCACGCTGTTGCTCAATATGAAGGAGTAATGATTCATTAACTGAGGGAGGGCCATGTTAGTCATCAGATTTTTTCCTTGCTCATGTTTGACATGATGCCATGAGACTTTGTGATGTTTAGAAGCAATGTTGAGGACTCCAGGGCAATTTCTTCCTGACTATTTACCACTGTGCCACCACTTCTGATAGGTTTTGTTGGTGTCACACTGAAAATACTAAACATGAACTTATAAGCCCTCACTGAAATTACTGCCGTATAAATAATCATTTAGAGTACTAATAATAATTATTAATACTCACACAGTACAAAAACTGAGCTTGTAAAATATTACTGGAAGCACTGACAGTGTACATTTAAAATTGTACTAATGTTGTTCATAGAAAATTGTACTTGGCATGTGTGCAAAAAATAGATGTTTTTCAAAATTTTGTGCCAGCTAAGTCATTACTTTTCTCATAATTATCTTTACACTTGCATGGAAAACATCTTAACTGGAAATGTTAAGTGATTGTTTCGACCACGTCATTTACCAATGCAGTCGAATTGGTGGCTTTCCAATTATTTAAATCATTCTGGGGAAACTTAGAGAGCTTAAAGAGATAAAAGCCAATCACACTACAATGCAACCCTGTACCACTGACAAGGGAATTTTACATAAAAACCTAAAGAACTGTGGATGCTAGGAATCAGAACCAAAAACAGAAATTGCTGGTAAAGTTCGTCAGGTCTGGCAGCATCTATGTAGAGAAATCAGAGTTAAGATTTTGTGTCCAGTGACCCTTCCTCAGAACTGACAGTGGCTATGAAAATGTTGGTTTTTATGCAGAAAATAGGGTGGCGGGAGGGGATAAGGAGTAAGGGTGAAATTTTACATCACTAATTGAAAAGAGGCTGATTAGCAGCAGAGGGTCATGTTCGCTAACAAGAAGTCATATTAACAGTTTAAAAATTCAAACCACTGAATTTCAGAATTTAAGTGCTGCACTTACATTCCAGTCTGTAGTTCCAAAGAAGCAGTGTCGTTTTATCTCCTCAACTCCATCAGGTCCAGCACCTTTAAATAAAATAAAAATATAAACAAAGAAATCAGTGCTTCTGAACTGTCACTTCTTCTTAAAAACCCTTGAATCTGATCTATAATTGTACACAGTGCAGCAAATGGAATTTGTTACCTTCAGTTCTATAGATTGTGTAAACATGAGGTATGTTGAGAGCGACTGCCCCTAACATCACAGTGACATTTGAACACGTGTAGCATCAAGGAGCCCAAGCTAAACAGGAATCAATGAGAATCAAGGGGAAATTTCTCTACTTTCTACAAAGGAAGACATTGTGGTTACTGCAGGTCAATCATCTCCATTGGAGGATATCATTGCAGAATTTCCTTAGGGTAATGGTCGAGGTCCAAACATTTTCAGTTGCTTCATTAACCTTCCCTCCATCATAAAATCAAAAGTAGCAGTTTGTTGATGATTACACCAACGTTTCATTTGTGACTCCTTAGATTCTGAAGTAATCCATAACCAAATGCAACAAATCCTGGACAACTTTAACGTTTGAGTTGACAGGTGGTAAATGACATTCATGTCTCACAGGAGCCAAGCAATGATCCTCTCCAATAAAAGAGAATTTAAACATCTTACCTTGGTATTTAATGATATTACCATCATTGAATTCCCCATTAATAATATGCTGGATGTTACCTTTGATACAAACCTGAACTGGATCAGTCATGTAAATACTTTGGCCAGTACAGCAGATCAGAGGCTAGGGATTCACATGATCAGGAAATTTGCAGAACCACAAAAATTGGCTGGGTAGCTAACAGTGAAGGGAATGGCTGTTGACAGTAGCGCGATATCACCGGTTTGGTTGAGTTAACAGAAACGTGGCAAATATAATTCAATCTAGAGAAGTGTGAGGCTGTACATTTAGGGAGGTCCAGAAAAGTAAAGGAATACATGATAAATGGGAGAGTGTTGAGAACAGTAGAGGAAGTGAGTAACCTTGGAGTGCATGGCGCCAGGTCCCTGAAGGATAGGTAGATAAGGTGGGATATTTTCCTTCATTGGGTGACATATTGAACACAAGAATTGGAATGCAATGGTGGCATCATATAAGACATTGTTTTGGACATGGCTGCTGGAAACTGGGATTGGAATGAGTGGCTCGTTTATTCAGCCAGTGCAGACATGATGGGCTGAATAGCCTCTTTCAATTCCTGACTCGCCAAAATCTGTTCACCATCTATAAGGTACACATCAGGAGTGTGATGGAATGCTCTCCACTTGCCTGGATAGTGCAGTTGACTGATCGATTGATATATTGTCACGTGTACCGAAGTACAGTGAAAAGCTTTGTTTACGAGCAGTATAGGCAGATCATAGTAAGCAAGGATATACAGGTCAGAGGTTGTAGAAAGACTTAGACAGAGGCATACAGGTTACAATGCACAGGGTGTGTGCTAGGCATGATCAATGTTAGCAAGATCAGCATTATTTGAGGCTAGAGAGTCCATTCATCAGTCTAATAATAACCAGGAAGAAGCTGTTCCTGAACCTGCTGGTGCATGTATTCAGGCTTCTGTATCTTCTGCCTGTTGGAAGAGGTTATAGATCATTACTGGAGTGTGATGGGTCTTTGATAATGTTGGCAGCCTTTTCGCGTCAGCAAACTGTGTCAATGGGGTCCAATGGATGGAAGGTTGGCTTCCGTGATGGTCTGGGCTGCGCACACCACCTTCTGTAGTTTCTTACCGTCCTGGGCAGAGCAGTTGCCACACCAGACTGTTATGCACCCGGACAGTATGCTTTCTATGTTGCATCTGGAGAAGTCAGTGAGGGTCCTTATGGACATGTCAAATTTCCTGAGTCGCCTGAAGAGGAAGAGGCATTGTTGTGCCTTCTTGATCATCACATCTACATGGGAAGTCCAGGACAGGTTTTCAGTTATCTTCACCTAGGAACTTGAAACTGTCCACCCTCTCAACCTCAGTTCCACTGATGTAGATGGAAGCGTGTTCTCCTCCTTTCTTTCTGAAATCAATGATCAGTTCTTTAGTTTTGCCTACATTGAGTGAGAGATTGCTCTCATTGCACTGCATCACCAAGCCCTCGATTTCCCTTCTGTATTTTGACTCGTCTGACTATGGTGGTGTCATCAGCAAACTTGTAGACGCCGTTTGTTCGGAATTTGGCAACACTGTTGTGAGTGTACAGGGTGTACAGTAGGGGGCTGTGGACACATCCTTGGGGGCTCCAGTGTTGAGTTTTATTGTGGAAGAGTTGCAGTTACCTATCTTCACTGATTGCGGTCTATGGGTCATAAAGCTGAGGATCCAGTTGCAGAGGATGGAGCCAAGACCAAGGTCAGAGAGTTTTGAGATCAGTCTGGAGGGGATAATGGAGTTGAAGGCAGAGCTGTAGTCAATGAGCAGGAGCCTGACGCAGGTGTCCTCCAACCACACTCGGCTCATCTAACCCAATTGATTGGTACCCCATCTACCACCTTAAAAATTCTTCACAACAGATGCACAGTGGCAGCAGTATGTACCACCTACAAGATGTGCTACATCAACTTCAAAGACTCCTTCATCAGCAGACAAAACACACAATCTTTAGAGGGTTAAGTGATACAAAAACAGCGAGAACACCATGACCTGCAAGTTCCCTCCAAAGACACCATCCTGACTTGGAACAGTATTGACATTCCTTCACTGCTGCTGGGTTGAAATCCTGGGCCTCCCTTCCTGACAGTACTCTGTCTACAATTCATCTTCTCCAGGGCATGTAGCATTGGGCAATAAATGTTGACTCAGCCAGTGATGTTCACAAACCTGTGAATGAATAAATGAAAAAAAAATCTGACCCAGCTCTTCCAGTGGGAAGATGTCATTGCAGACCAAGTAGAAAACCCAGTGCAGCTAACTCCTTCAGAATTGCTTGGAAAATTGAAATTCTGATGGGCAACTACTCCGCATCTGAAACGCTCTGAAAAAGTTTTGAGTGTCTGAGTGACTTAGCTTAATTATTATCCAAAAAATTAGAGAATTGAATCCTGCTTTAAACCCCGAGTAACAATGGATTGAATCTTTCAATATTTTATTTTAGCTCAGTCTGAGTTGTGTCAATTTTTTGGAGGGATTTCCGCTGCAAGGCCTAGTGCGTTTTCTCAATGGTTCTTATTGAGTTCACCTCCCTTCCCACTGGGATGTCCATCCAGAAGAACTGGCCTCTCAGCAGACATCATTTGAAAGACTGGCATCCCTTGCACTACACCATCTTTAAAAGGCTAGTGTGCATCCGGATAAGCACTGGCCTTTCAAACTTGCCCAGCTCATTGACAGACAGATTCTGAAGATATCTGAGAATAGGAAGATGGCGCTTTAATTATTCAACAAGGGCCTGGAAGTTCTTGTGGAGGGATGGCAAAGGAGGTCACACCACCAGATAGTGCCAGCTTGGTCCAAGGTCAGCACCTAAGTCAGCGCTGTCTCCACAGTGCGGAGATACGGCTAGCAGTGATGCAAGAAGGTCAATGACCTTCTCCACTGTGCCAGTGTATGTGCCATATTCTTATTTCTGCTACCTCACACTCACCCCTGTATCTCTGCTACAGCACCCACCACTTCCCAAGGCTCATGCTTTGCCATTCTCATTACTGCCTGTAACATCTTCACTCATTCTCAATGCCTCAACCTCCCACACCACTACCTTTGCATGGCCTTTGCCTGCCTTCTCACTATGTTGGAACTTCATACCACCTTTCTTCCAGCCTCATTCATAGGATGCCATCCAATCTTTTCTTACTCAATCCCACTCTTTCTCTGAGATAGTGGGAACTGCAGATGCTGGAGAATCTGAGATAATAAGGTGTAGAGCTGAATGAACACACTAGGCCAAGCAGCATCAGAGGAGCAGGAAGGCTGACGTTTCGGGCCTAGACCCTTCTTCAGAAATGGGGGAGGGGAAGGGGGTTCTGAAATAAATAGGGAGAGAGGGGGAGGCGGATAGAAGATGGATAGAGGAGAAGATAGGTGGAGAGGAGACAGACAGGTCAAAGAGGCGGGGATGGAGCCAGTAAAGGTGAGTGTAGGTGGGGAGGTAGGGAGGAGATAGGTCAGTCCAGGGAGGACGGACAGGTCAAGGGGGTGGGATGAGGTTAGTAGGTAGGAGATGGGGGTGGGGCTTGAGGTGGGTGGAGGGGAAAGGTGGGAGGAAGGAGAGGTTAGGGAGGCGGGGACGAGCTGGGCTGGTTTTGGGATGTGGTAGGGGGAGGGGAGATTTTGAAGCTGTGGCCATGTGGCCACTTTCGGAGCACCCACGGATGACGTCACATCCTCCGCCGCTGGGTACACCACTTCCAGGACAGCGAACGCCATCAACACCGCTGCTGATGCCACCGCCTACATTTCCAAGGCCAACACCACAGACACTGAGGACACACCTACCGTCATCGCAGCTGCTGCCGCCTACCCCACTCCGCCCACCACCGACGCCAACGCAACTCCGCCCACCACCAACGCCAACACAACTCCGCCCAACGCCAATGCCAATGCAACTCCGCCCACCGCCGACACTGACACAACTCCACCCATCACCGCTGATGCAACTCTGCCCACAGCCAACGCCACACGGCCCACCACCGACGCTGACATCGCTCCGCCCATCGCCTCTGCAGCCAGCAGCTCCAGAGGATACAGCAGCACCCAGCCCTGCCGGATCTTCACCATCCCCCCACACCTCCCCCTTACTGAGGACAAATGGTCAGTCTGGACGTTGAGCAGTTTTTCAGCCGCCTCCACCTCTGCGCTTACTTCTTTAACCTTGAGTCTAACCCTCTCTTTAATGACCCCTTCTCCCGCCTCCAACACACCCCCTCCTCCTGGACACCACCCCAAGGCCTCCTATCCTCCCTTGACCTCTTCATCTCCAACTGCCGTCGAGACATCAATCGCCTCAACCTCTCCACTCCTCTCACCCACTCCAACCTCTCCCCCGCAGAACATGCAGCCCTCCGCTCCCTCTGCTCCAATCCCAACCTCACCATAAAACC